ACAACCATTCAAAGAAACAAGAACATCACAATTAGTTAAAACTCAAATTATTCACAAATTCTAAAAGAAGCATTTTTCATCTTCCTATTCAGTATCAGAAAGTAAATAAGATGGCAAAGACCGCGATTCGGAAACTGAAGATGGCAAAGACCACGATTCGGCAACCGATTCACCGTTTTCTGAACTCAAATCCTGCAATTTCGGTTTCAGTTCTTTCTTACAAAACTCATCATACTCCATTTTATCACCTCCTTTCTTCTTCACTTCAACAACAACCAAAGCTGGTGTCAATTCAAATATCTCAGCAGCAATTGTTAATGGACCTTTAACACTACCTTCTCTTGAACCTTCAAGACTCACTTTACAATCCTTCTTTCGCACCGTAAAGCTCACAATTCTCGCGATTTCCTCCAATTTCGAAATGATCTTATTAACCGGAGCTCCTGAAATAAACCTAGAGCCTTCATCATCATTAAACAAACCGGACAGATCAAAACCGGGCGAAAACGAAATGAGGTCAAAAGCATTCAAACTCGCGGGCCTAGGCATCGAAACCGCTCTTCTCCTAGCGTCAAAAGACTCGAAATCCGATTCAGAAACCGTAGAAGACCTCCCCGAAACTGACTCAATCGATTCGATCTCGTCATCATCATCAACACTACAAAGCTTATTATCATCCTCAACGTAAAACTTAATATGCTTAAACCCTTTCTTAAACCAACTAAACTCCATAATATCCGGCATCGTAAACCGTCTCTCCGGTTTAGTCTCGAGCATTAGAATCAATAACCGGTTAATCTCAACCGGAAACCACCTCGGGCACCTGAAATCTCCTCTGTAAATCTTCTTATACATAGCCATAACATTCCGATCATGAAAAGGAAGAAACCCCGCCATTAAAACGAACAAGATCACTCCACAAGACCATATATCGACTTTAGCACCGTCGTAGCCTTTCCTCGCGAGAACCTCCGGTGCCACGTAAGCAGGGGTCCCACAAAAAGTATGAAAAAGCCCGTCTTGTCTGATCTGATCTGAGACAGCACTCAGACCAAAGTCAGAGACTTTAAGGTTTCCGTTTTCGTCTAAAAGAAGATTCTCCGGTTTCAAATCACGGTGATAAACACCACGGAAATGGCAGAAGGACACGGCGGAGATCAATTGCTGGAAATATTTACGAGCGATTTCTTCTTTTAATCTTCCTTTAGCGACTTTGTTGAACAATTCACCACCTTTAACGTATTCCATAACGAAATAGATTTTTGATTTCGTAGCCATGACTTCGAATAGCTGTACGATGTTTGGATGACGAACACGACGGAGAATCGAGATCTCGCGTTTGATGTGTGCGATTAAACCGCTTTTTAAAACTTTCTCTTTGTCGATTACTTTGATCGCTACGTGTTCTCCAGTATTCGCGTTTCTTGCGAGGTAAACTTTAGCGAATGTTCCGTGGCCGAGAAGTCTACCCATTTCGTATTTTCCGAGGATTAGAGCTTGTGTGTTGC